ATATATATATATATATATATATATATATATAATAACATATACATGTACATATGTATATACAAGAAGAAAAAGATTCGACAGTAGAAATATACAGACCTTTGGCTGGCAACGTGTCCGAGTGCCTGTTGTAACTCACGTTCAACATTATATTTTTGATTCTCGTTACCACATTTCTTTGTTCTTCGCTTACTAAAAGAACAGACTTGTTTCCGCAAAATTCACCGAATAATTAACTAGTCAATCCAGTCCTCTTAATCGATTACACTGCTAAAAAATGTTTAAAAAATTGATTCGATGAAAAATTAAAATGAACAAATTGTAAAATTTACATTTAGATTAGATTTATCGATCAGTGTTTAATCTTTGTTGTTTACATTTGAATTAAGATATCTATTCTGTCAGATAATTTTTGAAAAATTATATATGTTTAATATATTTTCTTTTATTTAAATATTCCATCAAAAGATTATTTTAAAAAAAAATGTCGATGGATATTTTTTTTCATCACTTATAACTTTAACTTAAAAAAAAAAATAGCATTGTATCATAATGTTAACTCTGAATCGTTTTTCACAAAAAAGAAAAGAAAACAGCTATTAGTTCATCCATTCATGTTTCAAACGAATGACTTGATCGAAAAGTATGACAAATTAAAACGATGTAACGAAGAAACACATCGACAAAGAGCAGCTTAGATACGTTGACACACTAACGTTGCGCGTGGTACTGAAACAATTGTGGATGAAGCATTGATGAACTAAGTAAGTACTCGGTTAGAGATAATATATACAGTCTTTCAAAAATGTGGAAATATCTATTAATTGAAGATTAAAGTAATTTTAAATATTCAACATTTCTTTTCGTGTTTTTAAATAATGATACATTTAATTTATATCAATATCGAAATAATAATTGAATTATTCAAAATACAAAAGTGCCTGTGCTCATGTTTTAATGATTTTTACGTAATATTTTCATGTAAAATGAAACTATATTGTTGTTTTATCAATATTTTTTAAGATGAATTTTGAATGATAATCAAACTATTAAATAATTATTGATAAAGAAAATTAAATATAAATTAAAGATATAAGTTATAAAATAAATGGATAAATGTTTAATATGTAATAAAATATAAAAAAATAGATAACGAATGGAACTCATTTATAAATAGTAATAATAATAAATAATGATTCTTGACAATTTAATATTATTTATTTATCACTGAAATTTTTTTAATTTATTGTTTTCAGCTATTAGAAATGTTGAAATTTTATGCCAGATTTGAAATCAATGAAGAAAGCGGTGATCCTCTCACTGATCATGATATGACACAATTACATTATACCAAGATTACTTCACTTCAGGTACAAAATATAATATATCTATGTATTTTGAACGCTTAAAAAACTCTTACTTTTAAAATTAAGTTTTGTATCCTTAGGAAAAAAAATTCTATGAAAATAAATAAAATAAATCTTTCTTATCAGATAATTTAAAAAAAATGGCATATTTTTTATATTTATTTTGATATTTTGATTTTTAATACAATAAATAAATTTTTACAATAAATAAATATTTATTGTAATATTTGAGTTATGAATCATCAAAACAATTCTTCCATATCATTTGTCAAATCATCAACGTTGTCGTTAGAATGGGCGTTCACGTATTAAATCCAAAGGAATACAAAAGCACAAACCAAAAACAAAATTCGAACTCTGCACAGAAAGCAGTTTTTGCGAAGTTTCCGGATTTACGAAGTTTTGCATTGGCGAACGTGGCAAGCGTTGATACAAGAGAAGCTCTTTATAAACATTTTGGTTTACTCAGGTAATACTTTAATATTTGAATCGTATTTATTGTATATTTTTTTAAATTATAAATTATTTGTATATTTCTTGTTTATATGAATTTTTAGTCAAGAAAAACTAAGATCAATTGCAAGCTATCTCAGCTTGGTACCATCAAAAGAACGCGAGAAAGAAGAGAATTGGTATCGATATGATATAGACTTTCTTCGAGAACTTTTGGTAAATTGAATAAAAAAACTAAATTAAAAAAAATAAGAAATTCAATAATAATAATAATAAATAATAGTTAATATAAAATATAAATTTTTAGATTTCACGTCACGAGCGTAGAGCTTCTCAATTAGAGGAACTTAATGAAATGCCACTTTATCCAACAGAAGAAATCATCTGGAATGAAAGCATTGTACCAACAGAATATTTTTCTGGCGAAGGTTGTTTAGCTCTGCCAAAATTGAATTTACAATTTCTCACTTTGCATGATTATTTATTAAGGAACTTCAATTTATTTCGACTGGAATCAACCTGTATGTATAAAATTAATGTCATTGATTAAATAATAAAATAATGATATAGCATAAATAACAATAAATATTTATAGATGAAATACGACAAGATATTGAAGATGCTGTAAGTCGACTGAGTCCTTGGTAAATTACTTTTTATATATATATTGAATTATCAAAAAATATGTTAATAATAATTTTATTTTATAGGCGAGCAGAGGATGGTGGTGTTTACTTTGGTGGTTGGGCTAGAATGGCTCAACCTATTACACAATTTGCTGTAGTTGAAGTAGCAAAACCTAATATTGGTGAAAAAAGACCATCCAGAGTACGTGCCGACGTCACAATAAATTTAAGTGTTCGTAAAGAGATTAAATCTGAATGGGAAAATCTTCGAAAACATGATGTTTGTTTCCTTATTACAGTTAAACCACAAAATCTAATTGGTAAAATTTTGATTATTTTATTATATTCTTTATAATTAAATCAAACAATTTAATAATTTATTATTATTTAGGTACAAAATATAGTCATAAGTTACCTTTTGTACCACAAGTTGGATTAACAACTGTTCGAGGGTGTGAAGTTGAAGGTATGTTAGATTCAAATGGTAGAGTAATTGAAGATGGTCCTGAACCACGACCGATTTTACCTGGGGATACTCGTACATATAGAGTTTGGTTAGATTGCAATCAATATAGAATCGATATGGATAATGCTAGTCATGGTGGTGAAGATGTATATGAAAGTTTTAATGTCATAATGAGACGTAAACCTAAAGAGAATAATTTCAAAGCAGTTTTGGAAACAATAAGAGAACTTATGAATACAGAATGCGTTGTGCCCGATTGGCTCCATGATATAATTCTTGGATATGGTGATCCTGGTGCTGCTCGTTATTCTAGGTACATATCAAACAAATTTTATATAAATATTATATTGTAAAAATTTTTATGTTTGTATTTAAAATAAAAAATATTAGAATTACTATATTTTATATTACATTATTATTATAATTACACTATTTTAATGTTTTATTAGAATGCCAAATGAAATTGCAACAATGGATTTCAACGATACATTTCTTGACATAAATCATTTAAAAAATAGTTTTCCTCAATACGAAATTAAAATTTCTACTGATGAAGAATCAAAATTAGTACGACCTTTTCGTTTAACATTTGAAGATGTACTTGCTAAACATAATAATGCATCAATGAAGAAAATTATTAAAGTTGAACCTCATGTACCACCTAGTAGAGGTCCTTATAAAGCTAACGAACCAAAAAAGTATAAAAATATCTATTTTTTTTAATAAATTATAAAATAATAATTAAATATAATAATATTACAATTTTATTGCAGAAATCAAATTCCTTTTACACCAACACAAGTCGAAGCTATTCGTGCAGGTATGCAACCAGGATTGACGCTTGTCGTAGGTCCACCTGGTACTGGAAAAACAGATGTTGCTGTTCAAATTATTTCAAATCTTTATCATAATTTTCCTAATCAAAGAACACTTATAGTTACACATTCTAATCAAGCACTTAATCAACTTTTTGAAAAAATTATGGCACTTGATATTGATGAAAGACATTTATTACGTCTTGGTCATGGAGAAGAAGCACTAGAAACTGAAAAAGATTTCAGTAGATATGGTAGAGTTAATTACGTTTTAGCTAAACGTTTGGATCTTTTAATGGAAGTTCAAAGATTGCAGGTTAATTTATATATTATTTGATATTATATAATTAATTGATATTATTATAATTACTATTATAATTGATATTATTATATTATTAATTGATATTTTCTCATATATAGCATTCAATATTTATATTTTTAGGAATCTTTAAATGTTAAAGGTGATGTAGCTTATACATGTGAAACAGCAGGACATTTTTTCATGTATCAAATACTAACAAGATGGGAACGTTTTGAAACAAGAAGTAAACAAAGACAAAAAACAGAAAATGATTCTGCTTTCATTATAGATGAAGAATTTTCATTTCATAAATTCTTTGATAATGCACCAAAACCATTATTTAAACGAAATACTTTTGAAGAAGATTTTGAAATTGCACGTAGTTGTTTCCGGTAAGTAGTATATATTGAATAATTTTATATAAGATAAGATTATATTTATAATTAAATCAAACATCATTTTTCTAGATATATAGAGCGAATTTTTGCCCAATTAGAAGAGTTCAGAGCTTTTGAATTATTAAGATCTGGTTTAGATAGATCAAAATATTTATTAGTTAAAGAAGCAAAAGTTATTGCTATGACTTGTACTCATGCTGCCCTTAAAAGACGTGAACTTGTAGATATGGGATTTAAATACGACAATATTCTCATGGAAGAATCTGCTCAAATTTTAGAAATTGAAACTTTTATACCATTATTATTACAGAATCCTCAAGATGGATATAATCGATTAAAACGTTGGATAATGATAGGAGATCATCATCAATTACCACCAGTTATTAAAAACATGGCCTTTCAAAAATATTCAAATATGGAACAATCTCTTTTTGCAAGATTTGTTCGATTAGGTGTTCCTACAGTTGATCTTGATGGTCAAGGTCGTGCAAGACCTAGCATTTGTAATCTATATAACTGGCGTTACAAGAAATTAGGTAATCTCGTGCATGTGGAAAATAGTCCAGAATACTTAGTAGCAAATGCTGGATTTTTATATGATTTTCAACTTATTAATGTCGAAGATTTCAATGGAGTGGGTGAAAGTGAACCCAGTGCTTACTTTTATCAAAATCTTGCTGAGGCTGAATATTGCGTAGCCGTATTTATGTATATGCGTCTTCTTGGTTATCCAGCTGATAAAATAAGTATATTAACTACTTATAATGGACAAAAGCATTTAATAAGAGATGTAATAAATATAAGATGTGCTAGCAATCCTTTAATAGGTAGACCAAATAAAGTAACAACGGTTGATAAATATCAAGGTCAACAAAATGATTATATATTATTATCTCTTGTAAAAACACGAGCTGTAGGTCACTTACGAGATGCACGACGATTAGTAGTTGCTATGTCAAGAGCACGTCTTGGTCTTTATGTTTTTGCTAGAGTGTCTCTTTTTAAAAATTGTTTCGAATTAACACCTGCATTCGCTCAGTTAATGCAACGGCCATTAAAACTACAGCTTCTTCCTCAAGAACATTATCCTACAGAAAGACTTAACAATACTATTCCCTCAAGTTCACCAATGGAAATTGAAGATATGCCACATATGGCTAAATTTGTCTATGATTATTATATAGAAAAAGTTAGTGGTATGAAGGTAAGTTAAATTTTTTTTATTCATTATAAATAATTATTAAATAATAAATAATATTTAATTATATATTATAGGAATCACAAAAAGTGTGGCAAAAACCAGGTA